TTCTGTCACGCGATGAATACAATAACTTACTGACGACTGACTTACGGGTATTCCCTATTGCTCTCCAACGGGATGTTGGTAGCATCCAGTTACAAAGAATCGGAAGGCTGCTGTTTCTCCGTGCTGCTGTTATTTCTGCCTCTTAGTTGGCTATCAAAGAACGCAGTTGCATTCAAGTGGAAACGATCTTCTACTTCCGGGAACAAACTTCTACTCAATGATGAAGTGTACAACACCTGCTCATCTTGAGATAAAACGTATGTCAAATGCTCAAAAGCTTTTTTTATAATTTAATTTTCATTTTTATAAAACTTATGCGAATTCCCGATTTACTTTACTTTATTTCAACCTTGATGAAATAATTATATTTTGTCGATATAGCTACAACTTAAAAATATTCGTCGCTTAGTTAGCGATTTGTAGAGTAGTTTACGACAACAGCGAAAGCGAATATCGTTAAAATAAGTACACCGAATATTAAAATCGTCAGAATTATCGCTAGTTCTTAGAGAATAGCGAAATCGTTAAAATTATCGTTAAGTCATTTTAACGATCCGAGAATCGTTATAATACGATAAGAATTCCCCTACTGGTTGACGGTTTTTGATGACTTTAAATAAATATATTAAATTGCGAACTTTGAGATAATTCTCAAGGAAGAAGACGAGAACGTTTTTTTTTTTTTTTTGTGTAGAAAGAGACGTGTTCAAACTTTATTTTGCTTTCTGGAATCGTACCTTAGAGTACCATATACGACTTCAAAACAAGAAATTTGGTTAATAATGAAAGACTGAACTAATTTAAGTTTCGTTCAAATCGGTAAACATATGTCGAAAGTATTTTTATTATGCAATGGCTTATGTGGTCCTCACAATTTAGACGCATATTAATTTTGAAGCCAAGATTTTTTACAACATCTTTAAATTAAAACAATTGGTGAAAGATTACTGAGATCAAGATAATTACTTTTAATAGGAAGTACGTTCGTTTTCTTAGCATTTAGACAGAGACCATTTATGTTAGACCAATCCTCAATTCTTGTTAGATACTCATTCAGTCTAGCTGTTAAATCTGCACCAAGGCCAATGGGGCGTGAGAGATAAATCTGAGTATCATCGGCAGAAAGATGCATAGAGGAGTTTTTGCAGCAATGAACAATGTTATCAATAATAAAACTTTCTGCGATTTAAGATTACATTATACAAGTATATATTATTATATAGATTATACTGAACTTGCTGATATCTGTCCGAAAAGTAGCTTTTCATAAGCTTAACTGCTGTTGTGTTGAAATAACTTTTTAGATTCAACAGTAGAATATCATGGTTTACAGTTTCGAAAGCTTTAGAGACATCTAAACGTACTAAGATGGTAAGTAAGTTATCGCCAAAAGCAGGACGTATGCTATTCTTAATTTTCAGCACACCTGTGGAATAACTATGATTGGATCTATACCGAGACTGGAATTCGCTCAATAAATCATATAGAGACAGGTGTTTCACTATTTGAGCGGCAATAAATTTTTCAAATACTTTTGGCAATGTTGGTAAGATACTGATGGGCCTAAAGTATTGGGGAGCAGATACCTTTAACCGCCGAGGCATCATTATAGCACGAACGAGACGCAGATGAAGAAGCTACAGGCTTGCCAGAACACCTCTCCCAGGTCCGCGACAGGAAACCTCCTGATGTCGCCGGAGCATTACTTGCACAGCGAAGCATCCATGCCACGAGTTAGGGAGCATAATGCTCTGTGCAAGCAGCACCTTATAGAAGCTAAACCTCCATTTAGGCACATCAGAAAGGGAGTACTAGATCTTAGGGACACAATCCAGCAACACGTGCAACAACGCTGGACAGGACGGCGTATAGACAAACACTTAACGCCCTTCACCAGGAGTCAGTCAACCCTCTCAAGGACTCCCTTCCAGTGAATGATGAGCTCTGAGAAAAATCACCAACTATAGCAGACAACGAGCTCAAACTGCCTCGAGAGACACTCGTGACCCTGGCACAACTCAGTTCTGAATACTGCAGAAGGTTAAACCCCTACTTATTCATACTAGACCCCAGCATACCCAACGTATGACCTGTGGTGTTTTTAGATTTGTCCACTATACACTTAGGAAGGCAAATCAGTTTTAAGTTTTGCACAAAGATAAGCTTTTTACTTTATCGAAAATCAGTTGTTATTTTATTCCTCAAGTTGTTGTATGTGGTCCAGCGTTCATTAGTGGGATTTACAAGGGCTAGAATAGCCTTAGTGATGCACGGCTTAGTATGGTTTGTAGCTTTAATTCTACGAAGGGGAACATATTTTTCAAACAAATAATTAGTTAGCGTGGTAAAGTACTGTAATTTTTCGTTAACATATGCAAGTAGCAGTAATTCCGGTATAGAGTCATGGCTTCAGCAGATGACGAAGCCTATATTCTTGAAATCCCTATAAGTTCAATTTATTGATGGCTTAATTCTGTTTGGTTCAAAATTTAGAAATATTATAATTAGCTCAAGGTCCATTAAATTTCAGAAAATACAATGCAAAGCCAAACATTTTTGTGAGTGCGTTTTATTTTTCTAAATTTTACGTTTCCATTGCTAGATTTGAAATTGTTAGCACAAACATAAAGCAAAAATCAAAAAAATTTTATGTCAGAAGGTTATTATTTTTCAAAAGAAATTCTGAGTGAAACTACCCTGTTTTTTGTATCAAAGAAGAATAATGGATAAGTTTTGTCGGATCGCAAACTTGCGAATTTTGTCGCTTGCACTAACAATTATGCGATTATTGACAACGTACATTTAAATTTATTAAAATGTAGGAAAGGGGCACCGCAGCTTACAATACGTCAAAATATGCGAAAATCACAAAGAGGATTGGCAAAAACCAATAAATTCGTACTCGCGTGGCATTACAATGTTTAACAAATCAAAAACACGCTGCACAACTCTTCGCTTAGCATTATCCGACAAAATCTCGAGATAAAGATCACATATATATGTACAATTATAATGAACTTGATATAGAATGGTATCACTGGTGGTTGACATAGGCTTCTTATTAATTTCTGGGGCTCATGATTGGCTCATGAGTGCAATCGATAGTTTCAATAGTGCCTCCCATAAATGGTGACAATGATTAAGCAAAAATTTCCTTTGCAGCTTGCCGTTCTATTTGCGTCATGAGAAATCTAACCTTCGCAGGAAACACCGAACGAATTATTGCGTCTATTACGCAATGGATATAACGGCTTACTGACGACCGACTCATGGATATTACCCATTGCTTTCCGACGGGACGTTGATAGCATCCAGATGCAAATTATCGCAAGGCAGTATTTTAATAGTGTTGAAACTGAAAAACATATTTAAAAGTTTTATTATGTTTACCTTATGTTAACTGTTTCTTCTATGTTTAGTTGGCTATCTTGTTGATAAACAATTCCTTCAACTAAATCTGGCGTTAATCTATATAGCTCCCGAAACTCAGTTACTTTCAAGTGAAAAGAATCTTCCACTTCCCGAAGCAAACTTCTATCCAATTAAGAAGGGATACCTTCTCATCTTGGGATAGATCGTAGGCAAAATGCTCAAAAGCCATTTTTATTTATCATTTTCTTTTAAATTTTATATAACTTAGGCAATTTTCTGGTCTACTTTACTTTCGTTAATGAAATATTAATGTTTTGTTGATGGCGCCAATAAATTCCAAATATTCGTCGCTTAGTTAACCATTTGTCGAGTAATTTACGACAACAGCGATAGCGAATATCGTTAAAATAAGAACGCGGAACGTAGTTTTTATACTGCTGGAAATATTGTCACCACCAAAAGAAGCTCATTAGTTTTGAAATTCATGAATTTATTATTTTTTTTTTAATCAAGCTTATACTAATGCACGTTATACTGTGAATGTTTGTTCAACAAAGCAAAACATTACAATATAAATACATGTAATTCAATTTTAATAATATGTATATAAATATCAATTACATACATATGTACACATCTTATTTGCAAAATATTTTTAACGCATTTTTATAAGGAAAAAAAAGTGCGCTGAAAAGACTGTCTTTATAATCAAAGCGAGAATCGCTTCAAATGCTGGAGCCCATGCGCGAATTGAGCAGTGAACAAGTGTGCGAATACTCTTTGCTCAAATGCTCAAACTGTTCGGAAATGTTCGAGCAAAGTCTTGATCTGTAAGTAGATACATATGCATTTTAAAAGATAATTGTCTTCCAAGAGTGCAAAAACTGAGTTTAGAGAATAAATCAATATTTTTACTGGTTAATGATTCATTAACAGTATTCGATGCAGGTCCAAGAATGGTTTCTATACAATGTTAAGCAAAGCTTAGAACATCCGCCACAGTTATCAGAATTTAATGTTCTATCGAATTTGTGGGATCACAGTAAAAAAATATGAATAAAAATTAAAGTAAAATTGCGGAATGGTTGGGGTAAAGCATCGGCTTACAGCTACTAAACAAGCCTAAGGAGGTCACACAACTTTCTAGAATTTTTATTTTTGATTATTTAAAAAGTTTCAACTTTTGTGAATCGTCTTGTCTTTTGTATATAAATTCCAATTTGCTAAGCGCACACAACACAGCATAGCGTTATTGATTGATTTATTGATTCCTTCTCTGTAAATATTAAAAATATTAATTTCATGTGTTGAATATCGATATACTCAAATTTGACCATGTTTATTTGAAATAATAGTACTTAATTTACTCTTCAACTCTTTACACTTCGTTCACAATTTTATCAATTAATAAACAAACGAAACAATAAACGGAAATAATGAAAGATGAAAAGAAAAGGAAAGTTTTTCATGAGAGATCATCATTCTCATATTATTTTCTTTTGTCTTACAAAAATAAAACAAATGTTTAATCAATCTTAATATAATTACGCACTAAAATTTTATACATATGTATACTTTACATCATATGTTTTGTACATGAATTTTTGTTTGCTTATACATCTTTTCAGGCCCGTATTTTAGAAGATGCTTCCCTTTTATGCAATTCTTGGTCAGCTCGTCAGAACGTAAGTTACATATGTACATTTACGTCTGATGTACAATTTTCAAAAGATATATGTTTTTTGTTATTTCTATATACATATGTATATTTTTTTTGTAACAGAAGGTACACTTTCTCTTTCTGATAACCGTATGCCAAATACAGCTTCAAAGGTATTTCACCATTTTAGCTGACCTTGACTTCTTATAACCAAAAATAGAAATTATTAAAAATAAAAATTTAGTAGTTTAATTTCGTTACTACTAAATTTTTATTTTACTTTTATAAGAAATTATCACTTCTTATTGTGAAACATACATATGTATATACATATATACGGTCTAGTCTAGGTCCGTTCCTTCTGTATTAAATTTAAGGCCTTATTAACAATAGTTAGAATTATCCCTTTTCTCAAAATATTCTTGCCATTTCCTATAGAAACCCTTGTCCTTATTGGCAATAATTGGAATACTCGATTTTCACAGGCTTCTTTTAGGATCAATTCTTCGTCGGGCAAATCAGTTTATAAAGCTCTCGCAGCGAGTCACTAGCAATAAGTGTGGTCTGGCGTTGTACTGATGAAACACAATTCCCCTCTTGTTGACTAAAGCGGAGCACTTCTAGGCGATTGTTTCCTTCGGCTTGGAGACCAAGTTTTTTTGTTTATCCAGCCTTTTTCAACTGTTTTTTGAGTCAGGTTTAGCTCCTGGGTAATCGCTACCGTGCTCACATGACGGTCAAACTCGACGATTTGCATTATTTGGTCGACATTTTCGACAATTGGCCTTCCACCTGCGGAGTTTTTTAACAAAATTACCAGAACGAAATCCACGAAACCGAATTTGTGCCTCCTTATATTTTGGCGGTATAAGAATGAACTTTGGGATCCCGTTTTGTGTACTTTGGAATAAAATTTTCCAATTTCCACTGCAAGTCACCTAAAAATAGCATTGAACTTATTTTGCTTAAATTTTAATACCTCTGGTATAAATATTCGTAATTATTATTCAATAATTTTATATGTTGTTCATACATAGGGTGATATTTTTGCTGGAATAAATGATGGAATTCTCAGCAGAGCGGAAGCCCTTGCGGCGGTGGATATGGGTAAACATCAAGCCACACATCATCACAGTCAAATGCCAGCTCAAATCAAACACGATGTTATGTATCACCATCATAGCATGGCGGGGCCTCCGCAACGACCCCTACAGGTATGTACAATTTTTTCTCAACAAGATTAGTAAATACTCTTATTTTCCATATTTTATTTTTGTAGTTAGCACCCAGCCATACAGTTTTATGTATACTTCGTTCATCAATTTTTTTTTGACACCCTTAAATTACAGAAGTTATCGAGTAGAGTATTCCGTCCTGAAATCCGAACAATTGCCGTTTTGCCGTGAAATTACATCGGCCGATGGATCATTTTGCAGGCTGTCCGGCATATTGGTCTTTAATTGCAGATTTTGTACATATCGCTACAGCATTTTAGGATTTTAGGCAAGCATTATTTATTAATACAATTTTTTTCGCAAAATCCCAGCTATGCTCCGAGTTTTAAGTAATACGAAAAATAAATAAGATTTTTTCGTATAAACCAACGCAAATTCATGAAGGTGAGAGCAGAAGAACAAATACGTTAATTACCATGTATTTCGTTATTGTTTTCAGTGTAACAATTGTCTAAATCATGGCCAGTCAGAAAGGATGGAAAACAAAAATTATAATTTATGCCGTTAGCTTAAAAATCTTTGCTTTGTTGAGTTAAAGAATCATCAAAGAATATACATATGTATGTATGTAATATTTTGCTCACTAGCTCATGCTTCGGGAACTATCTTCGTAAGCTGTGACTATCGAATAGTCAAGCTGCCATCTCTACAATCTCTACAATGTAACAGTACCACATTAAAAGTGGCTATAAAATGTAGAAGAATCTAAACAAACTCTCGACTAAATCCAACACTGCCGGGGTCGGACCCGGCAGAGATCTAGGTTTACCTTTTCCACGGTTAGGTATATTCTAAAATTGGTCTTGAGGAGTTTTACGGAAATGAGACGAATAAGAGGAACAGTCCATTGAATACTACCACTTTTTCAATTAATCAAACGGAAAGACGTTGTTTCGTTAATTGTTCATCTCTGGTGAAAACACATAACTTTTCCAATAAAGCCAAAAGCATTGACAAATTCTGCCGAGCTCAACAATGTGCGAAAATACATATTTCGGAATCCACTTACCACAGGCGTCACATTTCCGGTAAAAGCTGCACCTCAAACTTAAATCTGTCAGATTTCATTGGCTTTTAAGCAAAAACCCTGAACTCAGCTTTAAAGAGAATGGATGCATAGAAATCAGTTATGAGGCACAGATTACGCGACGATATATATAATTATAATATAATTCAAAGATTTCATTCTCAAATGTTAAGTTTAATAATGTGTGAACCGTCCATAGAGATCTAAGTATACCCACCATCAAAGAGGATATTCAAATCGCACCGCGAAATCACGTGGCAAAACTGCACAATCAGCGCAGCGTACCGCAGTGGAGAAAAAAAGACTACCTATTTGGCAACGTTGCGATAAACCAAAACGCGCGGTGTGTGGGAGAGAAATACTCAGTGTAGAAAGGAAAAGTGGGTCGCATTTACAGACAGAAAAGCCGAGGGTCGAAGTGCCTAAGTATGAAGCTTGAGAAACTGGTCGAAAAGAGTTTTGCTCGAAAAATTGGAAGACTTACAGAAGGTTTCAAGACCGCAGCATACTCATGTAGGTGTTCAAGAGGTGATCCAGCCAGATGAATGGCAGTGAAAATGAAACACCTGAAGATGGTGAACGAGAACAAGACGGAATATCTCCTGTCATCAAACAAACAGTAGTGCTCGTCTTGTGTCCCAAGTCTCCTTCTACAGTCATAACTTTGGAACCAGTATTAACATCAATTTCAGTCCCGAAATTCTATGCAGAATAACTCTTGCCAACGGGTCCTACTTTGAATTAAGTAGGAAATGGAAATGTAAAAACCCCTCTCTACGAACAAAGGTCAAACACTATAAATCACTCGGTATTCCCATACTGGGTAGAGAGCGACCGGGTTTCACTTCTTCTAATTAGCGTCTTAACTCTATTTCTAAAAATAGATTTCCTCTGCCACTCAGTCTGATAGTTGAAAAATCGTTATGAATTAAAACTGAAATAGACTAATGAGTTCGGTTTAAGAACAAGGAAAATCAAACAGGTGCACTAAATTGATTACGTGTACGTACGTAAGCAAACTATTTGTGGTTTTACTAAAAGATCGCCAACCGAAATTCAACCATATGTTGTTAAATATAATTTACTGTTTTACTTCGTCACCGGAAGTACGTGTACACATCATGTGTGTACATTACCGGCTAGTACAAATTAAATAGAACTAATTTTCTACATAATCAAACGAATGCACATACATGCATACGTACAAAGGTATACATATGTATATATATCGATGTGTATACAAGGGTTGAAAAGCACATCAATTCCTTCCTTCGGTGCGAAAGCCCCCGGCATATAAATGAATGTCATTAAGTTGGTTCAGAAATACTTTATAACTATTTTGGAATTGCTTTTCAGACGCGTAAAATGTACCTGTGCCATGTTTGAATATGCATGTTTACACACTTGAAAGCAGATACATAAATGTTTGCATATACATGAATACATATGTACATTTAATATATGTGTAGGTATAAGAAAGCACCCAAACTTTTTGTTGTTCTGCTCTTTTTTTCGGAGGAGTTAATAAGTTTTGGGACAATTTTACTTAACTCTTTGGTTAAATTTCATCTTACAAAACATACAGAGTTTTCTGCAAAATTTATATAGATTATTTATTCTTTTAAGGCACATACGTGTACTAACATACTTACATATTTATGTTAACAGGCTAGTTGTGTACGCTCATACATACGTAGACGCATACGAGTAAATACTCCTACATTTCATGCTTATTGATTGCAATATTTTCGAGTCATTGATTGAAACCCGATGCATGACGTACGAGTATTTCCATGTGGTACCAAATATTTCTTTAATAAAATTAAAATTATAACGTGTAAGCCTTTTGGGAAATTGCCACGTGACGGTCGTTTGTCAGGTAAGGACGCAATTCGTGTCGTTAATTATATTAAACCTCCTTTCAAGGGGGTGGGCACAAATTTCGATTGCTACTTGATTGTAATCAAATTACACAACCTGCTTCGAACAATAGAGCATGACGAGACAACGCACCGCTAGAAATACAAAAAAAGCACCCTTGCACTATTACAACACTAGTTACACACTAGTCACTAGTCGGAAGTTTGTTTCGCAACCCAAATGTGTTTGGATTGTTAGTTATCTAGATACTCAGAGTCAAATACTGATGTGCTGTGTATTTTCTCTAATCCTAATACTATTGTCTGGTTATGTCGTAGGCTCTATATCATATGAAGATTGATTGCGTCGTTTGTCTCGCTAAAACTCGACAAACCGAAAAGTGATCATGGGTCTACCTGTTCGAAAAAATTGTATTTGTTATTCGATTTATTTTTCTTTCCAATTGAACAATTTCTTAAATTCCGAGAGAAATAGTGGCACGATTTTTTTGAATTCTAGCACGATGGTAGATTTTCGCCTAGATTAACATATAGAATGCTTAATTTTGGGAAGTGGGATTAAAGAAAAACTGATCGATGCAAGACTGTGGCTGCAGTTTGTTTTGAGTTTGATGGAGAAGTTAAAACAGCCATTAATGTCAAGAAAAATGCTAAACCCATTATAAGTGTATTAGAAAAATAAATCGCAACGTCAGTAATGAAAACTATTAATATCTAAATAGCATTAAGGGTACTATAGAGAAAAGAAATCTACTTCTTTGTGGTACAAAACTGATACATCCTTCTCTTCGTTTTAACTATATGAAGCTAAGTTAAGAAACAAAATGAAATTTTTAATCTGATAATCTAGCTAAAACCAGCTAAAAACTAAAGCTAAATTACATTTCTCTAGCTAAACGTTGAAGAAAGTAGCTAAAACTAGCAAGTAAATGAAATCATATAAGATTTTTTCGAATATGTCAGTCCTTGGTCCACTTTCTGAAAAAAGTGCAAACCTTTCCAACAACAACCTGACCAAATTTCAAAGCAATCGATCCGTAACTTTTTGAGATTTTACTTACAGATTTAACGTACTTTACGGCTAAAGCTTGAATATGTATCATGGATTATTTGGGGAACTAAACGCAATAGTCGTGAGATCTTGACGATTTATAATAGCAATATTTTGTAAATTGTCCATCCTTTAGTTTTTTAAAACAGTGCTCCCACGTGGCTCAACGATTTCGATATTGATTTTCACTTCGAATATATATCTGAATGGGGGAGATCCTGAAAATTTAAGTTCGAGATGACCAATTCCGGCCTCTGGAAAATTGAAAGTCGATTTTTAACAAATTTTCCATAAATTATATGTCGTCATCACATCTAATCATATCTCTTATTTTTTATGTCCTTGAAAGGTATAATTATTTTTATTCTTTTGTGGTTAAGCTACTGTGCATGTAAACGCTCTATAAATATACGTACATACATAAAGATATTAGAACTGATTATTTCTCTCTAATATTATATACACATTTCACATTTCACATACATTCATACTCAACGAAGCTGAACAGAGAAGTTTTTTATACATAACTTCGCGAAATTTGTCAGCCTTTCATCACAAAAAACGCGAATTCGTGCATTAATGTCACAATCATTTACCCAAATCTGCTATCTGACCCCCGCGGTGGTAGGTAGAGTCCACTTCCATGCGGACTTTGTTCTGAATATGGTTCGAAAGCATGACCTTTCGCATGGTGGTGGTACCACTGCTAACCACTCTGTTACTTCGGCAGACGCATTTTTATCAGTGTTTTAATAAAGTTACCAAACTTCATTAAAAGATCCTTTTGACTAATTTTAAACTCAAATTTTTCTTTCGCTCTTACGAATTATAGTCTTGGAAATTAATTATACATAGATATTTCGATATTGTATTAATCAGTTTAAGGATGCCGCAAAATTCTTCTTTATCTCTTGAATATATGCCGCGCATTATGTGCTGTTTTTGATCTTCGATTGTGTTCATTTGGGAAGATCGAACGAATTTTCATTTAATATTATTACTCTTTCGAACTGTTCACATT